TAATTTTCAAAATTTGCACATTTGTACAAAGGTGGCTGGGAGACTGTCACTTTATTTTTGCTGTCTAATAGTACAATCTTTGTTGTCATCTAAACTGATGTTAATTAGTATTTTTATTAAAACATTCATCAGAAAATGTTATCAATGCCTAAATCCCAAATTCACAATGAATCACTTTTTCCTTCTCAGCTGATACTTCATTGTCACCTAAAAACACAACATCTGTATTCCATACGTTATTCAGATTGGATTCAATGGTTGATTTTCTAAACTATTCAGTAATTATACTCAACTAAATGAGACTGAATTGGGTATGTAATTCCAAAAGTGCCTACCCACCCTAAAAAGTTTGCAATCCTATATCTGCCAGCAGAATTTCTTTCTCCACTCATGCTGTAGGAATTGAGGGGCCTTCCACAGATTTGGGGCACGCAGAGTGTGTAGGGTAAGGGCAACTTCCACTGAGTTGCAGGAAGTCAATTGTATACTGCAATGTTTGATGTCACTTAAAGTTTTAAAGTCAGACCAGTGACCATGATTTTATTAAGCAGCAGCACTGGAGCGATCTTTTTCTTCCTTTGGTTCAGTAGGGATTGATTCAATTCTCGTGGCTGTTGTTTTTATACAAGGACACTGGGCAGCAGAGGGAGCTCTTTGAGAAGAAGAAAAGTCAAGCCTGCTAAAGTCATTAAACAGCAATTTGACTGGTTGATTTTAAAATATTACTTTTAATCCTAATTGATTGAATAGTGAATTTTTAAAATATTCAACATCAAGAGTTTGAGGATGCAAAAATAAAGGCAGAAGCAAGTCAAAGGAAATCACAGATGTTGTCTTGGTCACTGTAGTTAACATGCTACACACTGTAGTTACATTCAAATTGAATTATTGAAAAGTTCTCTGCACTGGTAAGGTAACCATATTTTGAGTGATCATTAGATGGCAACATATTGATAGAGAAAACCCCAACTCCCTGCTGCTATCTAGTGTTGTTCTGGATTTTTCAGCCCAGATCTGATAGCTCTATATGCTAGTGTTCCCTGGAAGAGGTTCAGATTCAAGGACAAAAAACAGCCCTCCAAACCTTACTTGGAACCTCAATTAGACATATAATAATTAAGATGTTTAAGCTTTGGTTCCCTCCCCTCCCCTCCTCCAAATATTGCAGAAATATCTTAGATGCATTTCCCAAGTCATGTACGGCTTGGAATATAAGTCTTTGGAAGATTCTCCATAGCTGAGATATGAGGATCCAAATTAGAATGGAAGTACACTAGTGATTTCATAAATTCATCAGGCACTGGAAAATTATCTAACAAAGTTATCCAGTAGTTTATAACTTTTTTGTCTTATTTATTTAAAAAACCCAAACAAAATTTTTATTTTTTATTTTGTCCTTATGTATATGGTTTTGATAAAGAGTTTTTAAAATTAATTTTTGTTGCTTTTAAAATAACAGAAAAAGAAAAAGAAAAGAAACAAAACACAAAGATAATTATGATAAAAATGCACACATTTTCAAAGGGAGAGAAAAAACATAAAAGGTGCTTTAACAAAAAAGTGAAAAAAATACAACAAAGGAAAAAAGGAAAAAACATAATATATATCATTATAACAGCAAATATTTACAATTCTATATATATTTATCTAATGCAAATATTATTCAAGTATGCATATATTTCTAATACACCTATATAATTATCCTGGTGTTTTTTTTTTAACCTACTGTATTTTGTATAAACGAGTCCCTTATTTCATTATACTTGTGCAAACAAAGGCTGCGTCTATAGGCAATCCGTTCATAGGTAGCACGTGCAATCAGATCTTCAATCCACTGAATAAATGGGACCATAGACTTATCTTTCCAATGCTGCTATATCAGTCTTTTGGTCATAGTAAAGGCACGTAAAACTCATTTATGTTGTCCAGTTGCCAAATTCCATGTACTAGGTATGTAGTTCAAGAGAATATTATCCTCTGAAAATTTTAGCTTTTGTTACACAATCATATTTATATAACCCACTACTTTCTCCCAAAACTTAGTAAGTATAGGACATTGTAAAAATACATGTTTTAAAGAAGTATTATCCTTATTACATCTCCAACAAAGCACTGTTTTTGATAATCCTTTGCTATACAAACATACAGTTTTGCTAAAGAGTTAATAGAATTAAAGAAATTATTTATGGTTGAGCTGCCAATTAATCTTTGAGCCCTTGTAATTTAAGTTTCCTAGTTTACCTATTAATGCTTTGTGCTGAGTTAATTTGGAACTTTGAACCGTTTCTCTCTCATGCCCATGATTGTTAGCTAACAGTTATTATTGAAGTTTAAAATACATTTAGTGTTTTAATGGCATCTGCTTATCCATTATTTATAAGATGTTTGTTCTGCTTTTCCTCCAGCGGCTCAAGGCAGCTTTTGTGGGGATCTCCCTTCATTTGATTTCCACAACAATCTTATGAGGTAGGTTGGGCCGAGAGAAAATGATTGATTGAAAGTCATCAGTGAGTTTCCGCAGCTGAAGGTAGACTTCAACTCTCCATTCCATTCCAACAGTATCTGAGATTTTAGAAGCACTTCTGTCATCTTTCTGTCAAGGAGGCCTGTAAAATATCAATTTGGTGTTCTATATATTCCTTACTTGGCATTCAAACAAAATGGCAATATCTTCTTTTGTATCAGTAGAGATCTAAAATTCAAGTCATGGAAGTGGAGTTTTGCATTTCTTTAAATTCATTATAAAAAAGGAAAGAAGAAGAGCAACCTGACTATGTTAAGCATATACCATGCAAAGGTATAGAAGAGTGAAGAAACTGGTTGCACAGTTACGTGAACAGAATAAGTAATATAGCTTACTAGAACATATTACTTATACAGTATGTATCGTAACAGTTGTATTACAAATAATATTCTATTTCAGTTGCAGAGTTAAGGAAAACCATAATCTAACACTTTGGGGTGTTTTTCAATGTTTTCTTTCTTTATGTGCACGAAATCTCACAAATATACACACATAAGGCCAGGAGGTTGTTTAAAGGCTGATTTAGTGACTCAATGTGTGGATGATGCCAAAGGTCCTCCAGGCCATTCTGTTGTGGGATGGGGGGTGGGGGTTGTTTGGCAGTTTCTAAACCAGAAACAGTTCAAGATTTTCTGGACCTAACAATCTGAATGAAACAAGCCTATTTGGTGGCCAAGCAACCTTTGGAACACCTTAAACTGCTTTCAGTTTATCTCTGGAAAACTGCTGAACCACCTCTTGGAATGGCGTAGTCCAGTGGGAAACAGAACATTCCAGAGTTCTCCAGAAAAGTCTGTTCCCGGGCTGATAAAATTCTTCAGTTCCCTACATCTGAGTATATTCATAAAGGCCAGCCAGAAGTGGCTAAAAATTCACAAGCAGGGAAAAAAACAAGTTATCTTCAACTGTCATTACCTAATACTGTACTGTAACTGGTATTTACAGTATGCTGCCTACGTTCAAATATAATGAAGTTATATTAAATGAGCAAAACGAGGGTCAAATTATCATATAATTATTCTACATTAATCCTTACAAACTTTTAGTCAAATTGAAATTCTTAAATTTAATGATTTCAGGCCATTTGCCTGCATCCGGAATTTTCAGGATATTTAAAAAATAATTACTATGATTTCTCTTGAGGAGAAAGCGTGTTACTTATTTCAGATTTCAGGCTGACGCCATGATGAGCAAAGCATCCATTGCCAGAGTCCTTATTACACTGCTATGCTTGCATGATATGCTTATTTATATTTAACTTATTAATGATTTACTCAGTCTTGTTTTCTGTATTCACATGACCCACTGAGCCATCGACACAGGCTAGGTTCACACAACATGCTGGGTTCCTTTGTGGTTCCATGGATCTGGCAAACATAGCCAGAGACCTCCCTCAGACTTAGTTAGCAGTAACAGCACTCGTGGATGGTAGGAAGCTGACAATTAAACTGTCCTGAATGCCTTATAGCACCAAATATAGGCCAGGTTTACAAACACACTCACATGAACTGCAATTGCCAGCTGAATATATGTGGGTTGCAGCTTAGCATGTTCAGTTAAATATTGTTTAAAAAACAGTTGTTGTGAAATCAGATTTTATTCTACAAGCAATCCAACTGCATTTTAGCTTGGTACGTCGTGTGCACTCAGCCTACAAATAATGGTGGCAAATTCCCTCAGAATTGTTTCCAATCTGCAGTGAACAGAAACATTGTACAAATACATTGTATTTGTCAACATTTTAACACATCACAAAAGTTAGGCCTGTTCGTTTCAGCGTGCTCAGTCCTAATCAAGATGATTTGATTTTGGCACAGAGCCCTGGGTTTATGGTTTAATATATTGTGAGAATCCTCCCAGTTGTGGTTTATTCTATAAACCATGGCAAAACAAACCATGATTTAGAAGAAGATAGGTTTCTCCAAGGATGATGGACCCAGTTCAGTGAGTATCTGGCCCTAAGCCAGTCCAAGGGAGAACATCAGGTGCTACTCTGCCCCTTTCCCCAAATCAAGATGCATACAATCCAAGGATAATCCAATTATTATTTTGGCATCCGAGGCAAAAAAAAAAAAAAAAAGCCAACAATCGTGTCACTCTGCAGGAACCAAGTTCTGCTACCAAATATCAGCTACTAATGGAAACTGCGCATTAAAGGCAGGCCTAGGGTTCAAGTCCCCTCTTAGCCAATTTCGTGTATTGGATGATTCAGGGAGCGCCGCTTTCAGCTTCCCCTTGCTCACAGGGTGGCTACTGGGGGGAAGCGGAGGAAGGGTACAAAGGAAATCAAAGTTGGGTTATGACACCCAACCTCCGCTGCCCCCCTCGTCCTAACTGCAGGGCCTGCTCCGGACCCATATAAAGCAGATCAAGGTCACAGCCGGATCTCAGGCGGCAGGGTAGCCGGGAGCCCCTCCCCCTGGGCGCATCTCTGCGCTCTTCCACGTTCACCTGTCCCCAGGCCAGCGAGGAGGGGCGTTCCTGCCGCGGCGCCCGGCGCCCGGCCAATCTGGGGGAAAAAAAAGAAAGAAAGAAAAAGCAGCCGGGCACGAGCAGCGAAGAGACAGTGGCGCGCGGCGGACTTTCCTTTCGGGACGCCGCTCCGTTTAGCTGCACCGTACCTGAACCGCGAGGAGGGGAGGAAAGGCGTCGCCAGCAATCACATGGGCTCTGCTTCTGGTGCCATTGGATAGGGCCTGGCCATTAGCTTCGCTCTGCGTTAAGACAAGCGAGGGAGCGAGAGCGTGAGCGTGAGTGAAAAAAATGGTGGAGGTTTTCTTTTTCCTTCCTCCAGCAAGGCCTAAGAGGTAAGCTTGGGTCTTCGTCTAGATTGCCTCGCCCGGTCTTTTCTCGCACTCCCTCGTCCAGCATTTGAGCCCCGCCTGCACGGTTGTGCACTCACCCGGGGCTCCTGCGAGCTGAGGTGCGTAAAATACACGGTTTGCCGGATTATTAATATTTCTACCCGGGTTCTTAGATGCTCTACCCGCCCAGTTGTATTGCGGATAAGAGATTCTGTGCAGTCTCATCGGTAATACTCGGGAGCTGCAGAGTTTCAAAAGGCTGGGACTATCATGCTCTGCATCCTTCACAGCAATCCTGTTCGGTAGGCCGGTGCTACTGTCCCTTTGTGGCATGGAGGAAGGGGCGCTGAGCTTGTGAGAAAGTGATTTGCCTTGACCGCTTGAAGCACAAAGCTCAGGTTTTGTGGGTGTTCGAAAGTAAGACATTGTGTTCCGTGCGTCTTGCACTCAGGTAAGTGAACATAAGATTATAGCCTTAGACTTTAAACTTACACCTGTTTACCTGGGAGTTAGTGCAAGCGAACATAGTGAAGCTGTCTTCATGGTTTGTTTAATGAGTCAGAATTGACTGGTTTCACACAGTTGCAATATTGACAGAGCCACATTATGGCAGTGTGTGATATTGAACACAACTTCTGCTGGTATTAATAGACATGTTTATACTTGTGCTGTAAATAAATTTGGATTTGAACCTTGGATTCTCTGATTTTTATTTTGGGTTTTGCCACTGTGCTGAAGTAGCTCTCTACACTTCTGCAAACAGAAACTGATACCTCTTTTCTTCACTTTTCTGGCTGGATGCTTAGATGCTAGATTCCTGGGTATCATCCCTCTTTTCTCACATCTTGTAGAAGTTAAGGAATGCAGTATAGGAAATATTAACAGACCAGAAGGCCTCTGACAAGGTCTGTAGACCGTATCTTCTGTGCTGTTGAATAACTACATGGTATTAACTGTCTGGATGAGAATGGATTTTCATGGTAAAGATGAAGCTTCAGTCTGGCATGATGCCCCTTGCGAACTAAGAATATAAAATTCAGTAGTCTGTACTTTTTTGCAGAAACCATCTTCATTTATAATATGAGAAAATAAAACCCTAGAGATTTTCCTTTGAGGAAGGCATTGTATTTTAAATACAAGCCTGATAATGCTGGATTGAATTAAATGAATGTTTCTCTTGTTCCAGAAAGCTGTAGGCTCAGTTGGATTTGGAACTGGGAGAATCCTCAGGTCACTCCTCCCCCCTCTTTCTTTGGGCAGATGTAAGAGAGATGGTTTTTTTGCCCGAAGAAGAAATCCAAAGTTGATGTAGGTACCCACGGTTCTAAGAATAAAAAGAAGGTGCTGGCATCAAAAAAACATCAAGTGCAAAACCCAAGCAGTCTAAAGCATATGTCACCAATGTATGAGAAATGCTCAGGGCTTTTGCCATACCAATAGAAAATAAAGCATCTTATTACCAGATCTGATGCTTCCAGTTCAATGTCCAGAAAGAGAGTTATGAATAGAAATTGGAATACATCCAGAATTATAGCAAGTCCACTGAAATTGGGAAGGCTAATATCCTCAGATTAAATTCCATTGCAAAGTCTTTTGTTTGTTCTCCCCCCCCCCCATTTTTCCTTCGGCTGCCAACAGTGACTTGCCGAGAGGCATCCATAAATGTGGAGAATAGCAGCTGCTGCTGAGAACAGAAAGTAACTAATTGTACTGCTGATATGGGAAGAAAAGTAATTGGAGGGAGATGAATCTCTCCATAGTTTAGTACTGTATGTGCCAGGAGAATAAGAGGAAGTGTGTTGCAGTCTAGGTGTGACAGGAATGGAAGACTATAAGTATGAAATGTTATTTGCCCTGTCCTTCAGGCATTGCTTTGTTAATTTATGAAGCCTCAGGTAGCAGCAAATGCATTTGTGTTCTTTTTGTACTGGGAAAGGCACCATAAAGACTTTTTTATAGTTCAATACCATGTCTGCAGGAATTGCTTATGGCAGATAAACAGTTTTCCACTGGACTAGAGATTCTTTGGTTTGCTCTTAAATGGCACCTCCATAATATTTCTATAGTCCAAGGTAAGGTTTCAAAATATTGTGAAACACTCTTTGATCATTCCCTTGTTACTGTCTAATAGAGAAGCTTTGTTATCCTACTAATTGTTGTACCAGTTGAGAAAGAGAGAGATTACAGTTTCAGTAATCTTCAGTACAGTTTCTACTGGAATGATTGTATCGTGGCCTAATCCATATTTTTATAATTGATGTGGGTCCTTCGGTCAGTGTAGAAATACAATAATGGGTCTAAATTGATTTTTTAGAATTTTGCAGTGCACCTTCACACGGAAAAACGTGTATATTATGAAAAGTGTACTCAAAAATGCTACTTTAGAGAAAATACAGAAATATTTATAATTTTCTGGGTGGTGTTAAACAAAAGTAGGCAAAGTTTATGAAGTAACAAAATAGAACAAATGTAGTGAAGAAATAATGAGAAATTAAGAGGAGGTGAAATAGTCAAGCCTATCCATCTCTAATGGGATTGCATCATAAGATCCTCAAGTTCTCTACCTTGCATTAGAATAATATGAAAACAATTCATAGGCTTGGTTCACATATGGAACTATTTGAAAGCTGTATAGTTCTGACATGAGTGAAGTTATCAACTAATTATGGTTAACACAAAGCGTATGGATGAACCCAGTCATATGATGTGCAAGACATAAATGCACAATTCTTTTTTTCTAGTTGACAAGCTACTATGACTGTTTTGAAATGTAATGTGAAATTATATATGAGAATTAATCTTGGCCTTGTGCACTTAGCATTCTCCCCTTTTGCCACAGATTAGATGCTTCCTTTTAGAATAATCACAATTTAGCATGGTATCTAAACTTGGACAAAGAAGTTAATCTTAACTCCAAGATGATTAAAAACAAGCCAATCTCATAAACTATGGCTTGAAATATACTTGCCACAACTAACCTTATAAAAGGTTAGCCACTAAGGTTATGCAGCAATTAGATTCAGTCTCCCAAAAGTGCTTTCAAGCATGTGAGAGTGCAGGTGCAACCCCAGCCTACTGCTGCCATGCAGGAAAAGATGCTGCTGGGTGCTTTAATGTATTGGAGACAGATATTTCATTCCCATCTGCTTTTGGAATCATTTCTGAAGCACTGCAGAACCCTGTTAACCACTTAAGGCATTTAATCTGCACTGGTGGGATGACTAGGAGTATACAAGCCCAAAGGTCACTATATCTCATTTTAGTACTGTTAAATCAGGGGTGGGCAATCTGTGCCCTTTCAGATGTTGATGAACTAGACCCCCAACACCCTTTTTGTTATCCATGCAGCTGGCTCTTGTCACATTTTATGACAAACTTAATACCAAACAAGCATGCACACTGGAAATAAATCCGGTTTCATCAATACTATACAGACTGCAGCAAGTTTTTCTCTCTAATCCTAAGCATCTTCATTCATTGGGGATGGGGAACCTGTAGTCAGCAACATCTGAAGGGCTAAAGCTGCTGGGAATTCAAGGATCAAGGGTTGCTTGAGCTAAGTCATGGTTTAGCATTGGGGCAGAATGAAGTTGTTTAAGAAACAACTGAGGGGGAAAAATGTGTATCACCCACCGTAGTGTGGACATAGCTGCAGCTGCCTTGGCAATAACGCGTCCCTTTTTCTTGATAAATAAGCAGAGGCTCTTGAAGGTGAGGAATTATGCATGTGGATTGTTTAACCATTAACATCATTGTGCAGATAAACAGTCTATTGGCACTGTCCTGATTTAGGAAGATATGACTTATGGTATTTTAATAATACCAATGTAGTCCATTATATTCAGTAAGTTTGTTCATTACTTACGTCAGAAGCAAGAACTGATAGTTATTAGATAGAATATTTATATTCCTCACTTCCACTAAAAATACCATCAAGGCAGTTAACAATAACATGCGGATAAAATAACAGCATTTAGAATTAAACTGTTACAACTCAAAAACATCCAATAAAAAAGAGATTGTTGAAGAAGCATTCAGAGGAAGTGGAGACAGCTGCCAAAAAGATTTGAGCAGCGTGGAAAAAGGAGGAGGAGCAAGACCAGGCTTAGTCAAGGAATGAGCGAGCCAAAGTCCAAGTCAGAAAGGAAGCTGCTAAGATCAGCCATACCTCTTGGGACCCTGCAGCTGTCTTGTGGGGATTTGGCCCAAGCTATGGGATATTGTGGCCATATCTCCAGCATTCCTCTTGAGTTGTCCTCAATATTAGAGAGATTTAGGAAAGCAGTCTGGTAATTTCAACAGGGCTTTGAGAGGGACATAAATTGAGAGAGATATTTCCTGCGTAGAAGTGTACGTATATGTTTTTTTAATGATTTCTCAGCATAGGAGTATTAAACTGTATAATGTTATTTATCTGGTTTATTTCTTAGTTGTTTTAATCTTTCTTATATGTGATAGGGTTGTAAGCTGCTCAGAGTCAGCTGACAATTGAAGTGGTAGGTAAGCCTATAAAACAAGTAACTACTTTGCAGGGAACAGTTTTCTACCTGAGAGTATTTTCTGAAGAGTGATCTTTTTAAAAAAGAAATAATAATCAGAAGGGGTGAAAAGCAGGGCTTTTGTGTTGCCCCTTAGTGGAATGAGCCAGCCCACAGATTTCTTGGTTACAGTCTTCCCATGGGCATCCTTGGCTGGAGCCAGAAAAGTCAAAATGGTGGCTGTAACCAGTCAAAACCCTACCCCCCTTTAAAAGGGGGTGGGGCTTTGCTCAAATGGTTGTGGTTGCCATCTTGACTTTTTGCTGAATGGCCTTGCTCTGTGCTGAAAAACGTTATTTGTGTTTCTATTGAAATTACAGTAATTGGTTCTAAATTTGCATCTGTGCATCTTAGATTGGCATATGGAAATGGGTCAGTCTGCAGTCTTTTTTTGGCAATACAGGAATGGCCACTCTAGGGCCTTTTCACTCTTTCTCACCAATGCTGTTTCACCTGGGAAGAAGAATTAATCTGCTTCTTCAGAAACTCTTTTCTCTCATCATAGCAAATCAGAGCTGGATCTCTTCCCTCATTTTCGTGTTTCACACCGTTTCCCTTTTCACAAGGCTTTAATCTATTATTTCCAAGGCTTTTTTAAAGGGCATTAAAGGAGAGAATTATTCTTTACCTTTCTTGAGCCTGTAGGCTTTGTTTGGAAAGAGAAGATTAATCTGACCTTTCATGTTTTTTCCATTATTACAGATATTAGAAGGCTTAGAACTAGCATAAAAACCATAAGGCTTCTACCTAATACAGTATAATCATGATTTTATATTTTTTATATTAGTGCATGCATAAAGATTTTGCACATCTTGTAGTTTTTGAACTCTCAAAAGTTGTGGTTCATTGACCTTGGCTACCACTTTTCTATTGTCTACAGACTTCTGTTTATCAGATGTGCACCCAACCCATT